ATTTGTAATGCAACATATCAGCGCTGACATGTTAGCTTACCTTTTCGAATTTGTAATGCAACATATCAGCGCTGACATGTTCGCTTACCTTTTAAATTTTACCTATGCTATTGATTTTTAAATAAAATATTATAAATTTTTTTGGATAAATTATATTTTATATTATGTTTTATAAAATTATAATATTAATATTTACATTAAAAAATATAACATACTTATATATATGAATATTTTTCTGTGAAATTGTTACTAGAACCTTGAAGAGATTTCCAGACTCGACTCGATCACTTGTTCCGGCTTACCATCTGTACTTAAAGCATCTGTAAATACAAAAGTATGTTATTGTATACGCTAAAGTTAATTATGTACAATATACCATACCAAAAAGTGCTGCTGTCACATTCTCTAACGCTCTTAAGGACTTCTTGCCTTGGGTACCATTCTCCAAAATTCCACGAAATCTTTCGCGTAATTGGTTGTTTTTTAATAACGCGTCTCATTGATGCAGTCTATAAATAACGTAATAGATGAAAAGAAATGTATGAATTAGTAAAATTGTTACATGTGAATATATTAATAAGTTGAAATTGAAAGTAAGAAACATATATAATTTAACTTATAACTACTTCAACGGCAGTGATTTCTTCATTAAATTGAATTAAATCCTCCTCAGTTTGAATTGTAAAATTTTCCAATTGAAACAGCTGACTACATTTTACCCCTTGCTTTAGAATGACTGCATTCGCAGCACATTGGTCAATTAATCGTTCTTGACGCAGTAGCATCTACATAATACAAAACAAAAATTTCAATTATCACTTTAAATATATTTACTTAATTTTGCATATACTTACATTGAGTTTATGATAAATTCACAAATTATATTTTATTTATATTTTAAAAATTAAAAATTGTTTACTGCACGCACTTCACTAAAATCAAAAGCAGACTAAATGTATACAATGTAGGCAAAACAAGAAATTCTTAATACTCATATGCTTTTCTTCATTCTTTTATAATTTCAACCCCGAAATTGCTTATGTCGAACACAAATGTCGAAAACAAAGAAAAATAAAAACGAAGAGCTATTACCTCCTCGCTTACTTTTTCAGCGCTGGCATAATGGTGCCGCTGGGTATATTCCAAACACATAATAGTCAAAAATGTAAAATCGACTATTAGCAAACAATCAAAATAAAACCAGTTTGCGTTTTTTGCTGTTGCTAATGCATATCCTTATTTCATTTTCATATGCAATGCATTAGCAATTAGTCGTTTGACAAAAATTGACTGGTCAATATTTATGCATTAGTCAAAATTTGGCTTTTGCTAATTCTCAGCAAGCAATTCAAACCCTGTTGCAAATATTTTAGAAATATTACGTAAAAAAATGATAATTTGGATGAAATAAGCTGTGAACTATAATTCTGTTATGTGATCGAGTTTTTCCCCATTGAGCGAAACATGTACTTTGTTTCATTTATTATGTTTAATAAGCGTGCCTTTCTTTACTAACGTGTTTTCTTATTCATTTTTAAGATACAGTGTTGAAGAAATTTAAAACAGGATTGGATGAAATAACCTGAGAGCTATTGCATTCATTATAACATCAAAACTTTTGAACTTTAATACGCACGATTTTATTTTTTATCAAAATGTTTAACTAGTAATATTATTACATGTGTTTTATAATTATTCCATTCAAATAGTAATATGTATATATGTATATATATATAATATACATATGTATGTAAATATATGCAAAACTATTTAACACTATGAAATGGTTTTCTTTAGAGACCTTGGCAGAAGTCAGAGGTAAAGCATATTAAAATTTAAGTTCCGAAAAAATTGGTTTTAATATTTTAGTGGTTTCTCTTAGATATACATATGTACATATATACAAGTTGTTGCTAATAAAATACCTCTCTGTAATATAATAGACTTTATTACTATTTTAGAGAAAACCATTTAACAATACAGTTATATCCAATATATTATTTTTACTCGGTGTACTTATGTGCTTGTATGTATAAATGTTACACATTGCTACTTCAGATGCTGATGTGCATTATCTTGATGATATACTCTCCATGATGTAATTTTTAATAGAAATTAAAAAAATAACAAACCAGTCTGCGGTTATATTTTAATATTCGCATAATACAATCTGCAACACCAGCTTCAAATAACCACAAAAGAAAAATAACAATGCTTTCACACGAATGTAACTAATAAACTGAGTCGGAACTAACTACTTTATATGTGCTCGAGCCTATGTATAAATGTATGCATAAATTCGTTTACGCACCATTGTTTTATTTGCTAGTGGCTATAAGCTCTAAGTAGCAACGCTAACCTCCAGGTGTTATAAACATGCTTGGTCAGTTCATCTAACGTGTTGCAATCGTATTTGAATGCAATAATTGCTGCAGCTTACAAACAAACGTCGATTTCAGGTTTCAATTCCTATTATTTTAAGCCTTTATTCAAAGCTCTTTTACATTTTAGATAGTTATTTTCTTTACATAATTCATTTTTGTTGTACTTTTTTTGGCAGTTATGTTGTGATGAATTATTAGTATATTTTTTGCTTCGTCATAAGACTTGATAACTGTCCAATAATGAGCAAAAGACTGTATGAAAATGAAAGCAACCGGCTAACATTAATCAAATATGTATTGAAAATTTGAAATTAAGTTGTCAATCTAATAAATATTAGAAAAGTAAATCAAATTATCAACATTTTCTTTAAAACTTCATGTACTAAGCAATATATAATTCAAGGAAATACATATATCTTTCGATTGAAATACGTATTTTTCTATATCCATAGTGTTACAACGGATCATTATTGTGCTCAAGTGGCCTTTAATATATATACCTATGTACCTATGTATATTATAAGGTCTCCACTCCAACCTAAAGTAACTATGTAATATGAATTATAAAAGTTTGATAATACCTTTTGTTCTTACGCTCTGCGTTTTTAAAAATTTTTTCATAAAAATAAAAAATGACATAATTACGGATCACTTAAAGATAGTTTCAAATATTTTCAATAATTGAATATTTAAATATCTAATGTTATGCCACAATAACTAATGCCAAAAAAATAATATTTTGCTGCAGCAAGCATATATGTATGTATGTATATTAGGGTGTCATTAATTTTCGAAAATCGGAAAATTGCCCGCGGCACTCCCAATTCGGTTCATTTTACTAAAATAATAATCTGTGTAAAATTTTAGTTCAATTGGATAAGTGGAAATGGTGCCACAAGAGCCCCAAAAATTGAAAAATTACGATTTTTTCCGTAACATTCATCTTTGATTGCTTATATCTGCGACATATTTAATTCTACATAAAAAGTTATGTACATAAAAAGTTCCTATAAGTTATAGATCTATTAAAAATAAACAATTCACTCATACAAAGTTTTTCTGTATTTCTAATAGTTATTGAATAAATGAAATAATTAGCTGAAATTACCCGATTGAATTTAGTAAGTTCTATGAATGCATTTGCCCACATGACTGTATGTTGTTTACTAAATATCCTACAAAGTATGTCCAACATTTGGATAGTTATATACATAAATGAGATTCTGTGGTATTCATTGGAATACGAAGTGAATTTTATAGTATTTTATCGTCGTGAATAATTCAAAGTGATTACATTAAAAAGTGTTACCGAGATGTCTTCTTTAAATTTGCGTAAATATATGGTATATACCTTGTTGGTTATCATCCTAGTAGGTTGACTGAAAGTAAATTACCATCAAATAGGGAAGTATTAAAAGTTCTTTTTTACCATGCGTGTGGTTAAGTTATTGTTAAGGGAAAGTGTTACATTAACTATACAAGATGTTATCATATTTTGGCAAAAGGCACGAAAACCAATAGGTCAAAGTTTCTGTGCATTGGGATGAAAAATTGCTGCCAGCTTTAGAAAGAAAACAAAATGTGGACCGTCGACCTATTATAATCCCATGAGGACAGGCATCTGCTATTTGTAAATCAAATTTTTGAATGAGGTTTCCAGGATTACGTGCAAGCTTTAGTTTCTCAATTATTGAAAAACATTTAGAAAGTGATCTTTTATATTCAGCTTGCAGACATCACATTTTCGAAATTATTCTCAAAAGTGTTTTCCATGCTAAGATTTGGAAGTCTGAAAGCCCAAATGTTGAACTATTTCAACGATTTATTTCAATGATTGATAATTTTACAGTCGGCTTAGAAAATGAAAAAGTCAGAAAATCGTTAAATACGGATGATGTGTTAGGAATTACAAGTTTCCTTTATAAAATTCGTAAGGATAACCAACCAAGAGATGATTACAGAGAACTTCTAAAATTCGCATTAATGTTTTTAGTAGAAAAGCCGAACTGTAGTATAAAGTTTCGATCTCCTGGGGCTATACATCATGCAAGATAGATGGCAAAAGCCATGGATACATTAAAAATATTCTTATTTAGGAAAAAGTTCAAATTGTCTACAGAAGAAGAAAATGCTCTTTGCGATATATGTATATTTATTATTAAAGTGTATGTTGAAGTGTGGTTTAATGCTTTGTCATCAGTCAAAGTTAATTCCCAAGATTTTAATCTTCTTTCTACTCTCAGTCAATATGAAAAAATTGATGAAGATAAATCTAAAGTTATTTATGTAATCATGTTTGGTATTTAAACTCCGAACTTGTTGAAACAAAGAAAAAGATGGTTACGGATTTGAATATAGAAAGTGATTACATGGACGTCAATAGAGTATACTAAAAACATTTTTAATCGTTTTAAGTTGTTTTTTTTTGTTATGTTGGTACACCCTTTCTTTACATATATTACAAATCTGAGCGCTATCTGTCATTTAGTTTGTTTACAGCAGCTATGAAAAATCGCATTTAGCGATTTTTACTATGGAAAATTCAGTTGACGAAAACAACGAGTTTGTTTGAAATTTTGTGTTTTGAACGAAATTTCATGTATTGAAGCATTGAAAATGGTGCAGAAAGCTTATGGGGACTCTTCTATGTCTCGCACACAGGCATATGAGTGGTACAAATCATTCAAAGAAGGTCGTGAAGTAATCAAAGATTTGCCTCGTTCTGGACGTCCATCAACATCAAATACCGAAGAAAACGTGGCAAAAAACAAGAAAATTGTGCTGGAAGATCTTCGTATGACTAAAAATGTGATTGCTCTTGACTTAAACATCTTAAATGGACCCGTTCACCACATTCTACATGATATATTGGACATGAGACGCGCTGCAGCTCGACTTGTACCGAAACATCTTAATTTTTTGCAAAAAGAATACTGAAAAAACGTGTGTGAAGAAATGATTTTTGAGCATGGAAACGACTCTACATCCATGAAACGCATCATAACAGGTGTTGAAACATGGGTTTATGAGTATGACGTTGAAATCAGTCAACAATCAAGCAACTGGTGCTTCGAAAACGAGCCAAAATTCAAAAAACCGCGCAAAAGTCGCTCGAAAATTAAAGTTATGCTCACTGTTTTTTTCGACTACCGCGGTGTTGTTCATTACGAATTATTGCCAGAGGGTCATACCATCAATCAAGAATATTACCTCGACGTTATGCGGTATTTACGTAAGTCCATCTGTAAGAAAAGACCAGATTTGTGGAAAGCCAACAATTGAATTCTTCACCACGACAATGCTCCATCGCACACGGCTCTTGTTGTACGCGATTTTTTGACTAAACACGGCACCACTGTCATCGTGAGTTCAGCTTATTTTTTCTTTTACACAATAATTATTAGAAATATAGAAAAACTTTGTCTGAGTAAATTGTTTCTTTTTAATAGTTCTATAACTTATAGGAAGACAGTTTTTATGTAGAATTAAATATGTCGGAGATATAAGCAATCAAAGATGAATGTTATGGAAAAAATCGTTATTTTCCAAACTTTGGAGCTCTTGGGGTATCATTTCCACTTATCCAGTTGAACTGAAGTTTTATACATATTATGTATATGTTTCAAGAAAATATTTAAATTGTATAAGAATATTTTAAGAACTACAAAAGGGAAGAAAGTGTATCGGAAATAACTGCAAATGTAATAAAATCAACACTTACGTTTTATTAGTTAAGAAATAGTTCACTTAGTCATTTTGTAATGCAAATTATTTGCATTTATTACTGCGCAGTACAAAATATTGAATATGCATACACCACATTTAAAATTTTCTTGAGTACATATATATATATGTTTAAAATAACTTTAGTTCTATTTACGTCAATATATCGACTTATTACCAGTTAAGTTTTTTCATGCCTTGCTGTGCCAAAGTTATAAACTATTAGGGAGATAAAAAAGTTATAATGAATAAAGGTTTTCGAGAAAATATGTCTCTTAATTTATTATCCTATGCTGCCTCCCGACTATAGAGGATAGTATATAATGTATATAATGTAGCGTTTTTTTTTCCTTACGCTTTAATGGCAATCATATCGAAGACGTTTGAACTCAAATGGTATACATATAAACTTGTCGAATTTGTGGTACTCGTTAAAGTAGTACAAATCAACCTCTATGAGTAGCCATTGAAAGTCATATATAACAAATTATTCATAAATATTTCAACCATTTATCATCTATCATATCACAACTTTCGTTGATTGATGTCGCTATTCAGTTTAGAATAATGTCCATGTCGTGTACGCCGTAATTTCTTATCGCTAGAAGGTCTATGCACGTGAGATCTGAAAAAGAAGAAGAGAGATTGATACAAAAACACAAACTTTCTTGAACAAATGTTTACGACAAATATTAAAAATATGCATCACAAACACCAACCTATGGGCCGTTACAAATCAATTATCTGCTACTATGGAGATAAGAAGACGTAAATGGCGCTGGATAGGCCACAATCTACGCAGACCTACTGGAAACATTGCACGTCAAGCTCTGAAATGGAATCCTCAAGGCAGTCGTCGACCTGGAGCGCCGGCTAAAACTTGGAAAAGAACAACTGAAGAAGAACTAAGAGAAGTGAACTATTCCTGGAGTGACATATGCCGTAAATTAAATAACCGAATACGAAATAAAAAAGTTGGTAGAGGCCCTATACTCCACTGGGAGATAAAGATAAGAAAGAGAGAGAAAAGGTCGCTCCCCCATATCCATACCTTTTTTTTTTTGTTTTATTTGAAAAAATAAAGAATAGGCGAACCCAAAAGTTAACTTTCAATTCGTTGAACTTGTGTTTCCAAAATAAAGCTGTAGTTTATAAGCTCGTTCTAATTTAAAAGCACGGCAAGTGCTTTGGTTGGTGTCACTAACTAAATAAAAATAAGTGACAATAAAACCTGGAACTTGAGCATTGAAAGTTTGTGCAGCCTTGGCTTCTTGTGGATAAACACGATTAGTCATCGCTTCTAATTTGACAGGCACGAGTTCTAAGCCTGGCACTTGCAGTCCAAACAAAATTATATACGGACTATAAACTAATTAAATAAAAATTCGATTATTCTAAAGACCACTGATGAAGAGTACTTGGCAATACTCGAAACAGCGTTGTATGGTCAGCCAAACTTCAATAAAATTAAAATAAATTTTTGTGTTTGTCGTTTATTTCTTTCTTTGCTATTCAAAAACCCCTCCATTATATAATATATAATATTATCTCATTATTTTTATTATATCATTTTATTTACTATTTTCTATTTTAAATGTTCGTGTTGCAAAAATTGTAGTTTTTATCATTAGGTGCTTTCTCTGCCGAAAGCGTGACAAAAAACAGCAAGTTGGTTATTATCGGCGCTAAGCGAGATATTGGCATCACTGTTGCAATCTGCCAAATGTTATCTTTTCATAAAGAGCAAATCTTGTATATGTGCACATAATGCAAGCAAATTACGTTTTGTATAAAAATAAATAATTAGGATAAAATTATAATAAATCATTTATTAAAAGCAATGTTAAGAATGTTAAAATTTCTTTTTGCACCAAAATAATTAATAGTTCAGCATATTTATCCCTTAATACGTATTAATTTGTTAGCAAGTTAGAAGTTAAAAAATTTAATGCGCTTTTCAATTATGTAATTAATTATTAATTAATTTATGTAATCCTAAAAAATTTTGTGTATATTTTTAAAATATTTATTTTCCACAATTTTGCATATTTTCAAAATATTTCATTTTCAAAATATTCAAATTTATAAAATTTTTAATTTCTGATAAAGATTTATAACAGGTCGCTTATTACTTTAGTAGCAATTTTAACTGTAGTTGCTAAAATATTTGGCCACTTTACAACTAGGTTCTTAATTATATAAAGTAGACTTGTAGACTTGAAGTAGAAACACTTCAAAACTGCTAAAAGAACCTATTATGAAGCTCAGAGAAGTTCTTATAAACAACAGAGACTGCTTAATTTTTGAGAATATGAACACAATTCTGCCATTTAAATTTATTTATTATAACATTTCTGGCACACGTCTGACTGTGTAATTACTTATTATAATGAGCTGTTATTTAGGCATACAGGTAAATTATTTAGGTTAAGTATATTAATATATATTTTACAATGATCATAGGATTCACATATGCATTTCAATTTTATTTTGGTTTTAGTAAATAACAAAATGCATTCCGAACGAATGCGGAACTTAACTTGTTACTTAAAAATAACAAGCATTCTTGTGGGCAATGAGTGCAACAAAGATCGCAATTTTGCTGCTCTGTTTTGATTTTATGATAAAAACAAGGGACCATAAATAACAGTTATTTCAAAACATTTTAAGAAATAAATTAGAAACAAAAAGTTGTCAAAACTCGTATTTATGTTTATAGTTATCATTCTATCATTCATCAAAAATAATTCTTATGCTATGTTCAGACAGCCAAATTTCCTTAATTTCGGAAAAATGAAATTAAGTTCATTTCGAAAGTGTTCATACTGCCTCAAATTAACGAAGTCATAAATAAATATTTTCGGGATATTTTAAAATTTGATATTGAAATTTAAAAATTTGGTTTTTGAAATAAAATAGAAATAAATTAATAATATAATATAGGAAAAAATGAATAATAATAAGGAATTCTTATTAAAATATGTTTTTTAATAAAGTTGTCAATGTCAAGGTACTGCAAAAATAATAAGTTGCGCCTTGGGCAATGAATTACAATTGATGAAACAAGCATTGCTACTTTAAATCAAGAAATGAAGGACTGCTAAAAAGCGATACTACTTGGAACAACGTTATCTGTACCAAGATCATTTTGGAATGATCTTGGTACAGAGTTTTGGAGTTTTGCATAATGATATGGGAAGTAATGTCACCCATATATTTACATTATCATAAGAAACCTGTTTAGGAGCCCTTATTGGAAAAAATAAAAAAATTGTGAAACCCACTAAGTTTTTTTTTAAATTATATATAATTCTTAATTTTAGAATTAATATATTAAAAATCAGTGGTAAATACATTTTAAATAGTAATTTAAGAGATTCCTTAACTAATTTTATCCTACATTATTTATAAGATATATATATATATATAAGATTTGCCCGCCTTAATAGATAATCTTACAAAACAATGAAAAATGTGATTATATTGATAATGTTTGTCAATTATTCGTGATAGTAGAATAACAGATAAAAATGTCTATATGATAAAGAAGCCGGAGCAGTAAATTGAAACGTGAGTTTTGATTTTTCCTAAGTACTACAATTCCAAATTTTTGTAGTGTATATTAATTAATTAATTTCATTCATTTAATAATACTTCTCAACTACGTAATGCAATAACATCTTCTGTAACACGTGTTATTAATGCATCTAACTTATTATTTTTCAATTTTGGAGCCCATAGATTTTCAAGTGTTCTTTGCACTTTGCGCAGCATGTCCTATTTTAAAAAAATGTTATAATATTTAAAGTAACATACAGTACGGTCTTACCTTCTAAATCAGGAACAGCAAGTTTTAAAATAATAATAACTTCATTAGCAATTGGACTAATGGTATCGGATATAGTGTGGAGCGGTCGTGCAGCTCCGGCTGGAATCTTCAAAAAATCTAAGTTATTGATATTATACAGTATAACTTCATTAAGATTTGCAATAAGAATAACTTTCATTTCTTTTATTTTACTTTTGTACTGTTCAAATGCCTATCCATAGTCGAACTCCGCTTGTTGTGAGGTGAAATCTTTACTTTCTATTTCAACTGGCTTCACAACATCACTTTCAAAATATTTTCAGGGTTTTATTAAAGTCAACTGTTTTTAAAAATAGTTGTCACTTTTTCGTTATCTCAACTTTATCTTTTGCTGAAAATTTGTGTT